TTTGAATCTCCAGATTTGTGCTGATAAAAAATTTGTAAAGAGCAAATATAATATCAAGTAGGAAAAAGAATTTTGTAAAAGTTTGGTGAAATACGGGCTCAAGGCAAAGCAGTAAAGCTCTTATTAACTTGTAAATAAAGCTTTACATTCGAAATAACATTATGTCAAACTATGCATCAGATGAAAATACTGAATGAACTATTTCTCATATCAGCAGTTATTGTTTTTGTTATTGAATCTAAAACTAAGAATCAAAGGCCTTTTTGAAGGGATTTTCCTATAACTAAGAAGACATATAATTTTAAACAACTCGCGAATCCTTGAACAATTGTTTTTAATCGGCAGCTTTTTGACAAAAATGTCCTCCCAAACTTATTTAGGCTCAAATGATGATTTTGTTGAAATTCTGAGCACAACTGCAATTAAACCATACGATGGTTTGAAAAGCTGAAAATGAAGCAATGTATTGGATTGTGAGATTAGGGTGCCGCTTTTTTTAAAACTCCAAATGCGTTGGGAATCCGGAAGCTGTGACGCTTTGCGTTATATCGTTACAAAAAAAGATTGACTACAGAATAATGTGTTTGGCTTTCCCAACACCTTACCTGCCCTCAACTGCTTTCAACATCGCTGAAGTGGATGTATGGTAGACAAGAAGGATCTTTTTCGATATATAAACATAATTTGAATTTCGCTGAGTCTTTATCTGATGGATGGTTGACACGTCGATCACAAAAATCACCATTCAGCGCGATTATGTGGAATTTTGTTATGTACGCGAGCAAATCTCAGTGCGTTAAAAATGCTTCGTTGAAATTGTTTGGGCTCATTTTACATGAGGATACGATACGTAGACATTCTTCTAAGACTAGAATGGTTTGACTCATCCTCAATCTACCGTAATCCTAACAGGACAGGAAGACCTCATGTGCGAAGTTGACTTGTTTGTTGCGTTTACATCATAGAATATTGTCCAAAGAAATTTTCGAAGGACAATTCTAGAAGAAATAGGTTTGGAAAATGTTGCGTTTTTGCTTGAGTTCTTTTTATTTCCTT